TTTCAAGCTCACTCATAAAGAGCTTGAAAAAACATTTATGTCATTCTCAAGATACCTTTTTGATGTCAGTTGATTCCTACTTTAGATTAAAAACCAGGGGCCACAGGCGCTGAAATACTTTACTCAGGGAGATAACACTCCACCATGGCCTATGTTGTGTTTTTGGTTTTGACAGAGATGACACTGCTTCCTATACCCACGCTACAAACGCACATTCCCTGAAGTCTAGAAGTTTCCTACAAGCTTCTCCCAGAAGCCCTCCACCTGGGAGGTCAAGGTGACCCAGCCACCTACTGTTTTGGCCTCTTCCTCTGACCTTAACTCTTTCATCATGGGAGTTTTTTCTCCTTCATAGACCTACCCTTAGACTCTGCCCCCTCTCCTAGGAGAAAATGATCTTATTCTTCTCTTCCTTTATAAAACTCCCTACTCTCCTTGGCTGTATTCTAAATGCAAATGCCCAAAAGATGCCTCACAAGTGCACACATTAGCATGCGAGCCTCTCGCCTCTCCTCCCCCCTTCAATGAGATTCTGCTGTTATCTAATTCAGACATTTATTGTTTTTTGTTTTTGTTTTTGTATAGTATTTGTGATCGCTTTTTGGATCTACTACTGTTGCTGTCTGTCCAGTGCCGGGCTCCTCCACCAGTCCCTGGGAGTGTATGTTGTTCACCCTGGCAAACAGTGGGGATCAAAGAATCAAATGGATCATGCAAACAAGCAGTCTCGCATCGGACTGGAGCACGTTAGTGGTGGTGACAAGCGGCGCTTGTCGCAGCTAACTGCTGTAGGTTTGGGTGTCTGGGACCAAGATCCAGCCTTGAGGAGCTGGAAGCGTGGTCGCTTGGAGTAGAAAGATCTGAGAGACGAGGGAGGTCCCGGCCCGCCGTGAGTTTTCACACGCCGCACACGGTGACAGGCTCATTGTTCCAACTTCCAGCTGCCCTAGATTTGCGAGTTGCTGGGGATGACTCTGAGTAACTGAGTTCTCTGAGCGCATCCCAGCCTCGGGGCCTCAGCTTTACCAGGGAGCTCATACCTCGCACCTGGAAAGGACTGCGCCACAGGCAAAGGAGATCACGCAGGGGATAGCTTCTGGCGCTTGGAGGTGTGGAGAAGGCTGAATACCTCGACTCTCGCCAGAATATTTGAGAATAAGTCTGCACAGGCTGCGGAAGAAGAGCCGCTTACCTGAGACACCCTCTTCTCAGCTCATCTCTGGTGCGCTTAAGTTACGTTTCCAAGCCGGATCCAGGGCGCTCCCCTCCCTCTGACTGCGGTCTGTCCCTCCCTCCCCCGCACTCCCATTCAGCCTCCCCG